TCAGCAATCCCATCACAAATTATGTGGATGAGTTTCTCCAAGCCACTGTCACTTGGGGGAGACTGCATATCAGATCTGTGGTCTGACAGTTGTTTGTTTATATAAACAACATATATTGTGCCTTCTAGGAGATGTAGGGTAATTGCTCATAAGAAAGAACTTTAAGTTTTGGCTTCAAACACATACGGAGGCCCCTTAGATATACTGGGAGCAGCTTCTTTAGGGGACCCTCTCTGTCTGAAGTGAACTTAGATTAATTGGTGGGGTGACTTGGGAAGAGGATGGTGCTGACCTGCTATGGGACAAGGAAGGCACAAGCTGGGATCTGTGCTTACAAGGCACAGAAGAGGTGGGGGGTTCCCTCCCCCTGGCCCTTCAGTAACTCTGTCCCTAATTATTTTTTTTAGCATATTAATGATAATTGAAAACAGCAGTTACCAGCTATGCATCAGCTACCAAGAAACAAGCATGGCCTTGAATAAAAGGCATACGCATTATTACTACCATGAGTTTTGTTGATGTCATATTATTGTTGTTGTTATTGCTGTATATTCTATTTGCTATGGAGCTGCAGTGGGCAGCAGCAAGGCTTGACAAGCCAGTGGTGAAATAGCTCTATAAGGCATCAAATCTACGGTCTTGATCTTTGCAACATTTATTCCTGTGGCACATGTGACTACTACAGTAAAAATAAGTGTTGTATTGGCGTGAGCATATAAACTTTTCAGAGAAATGGAAATAAAAATGTAAAATACTTCTATTACAAATGTCCCCCGCTGCTTTGCTCTCTACCATGCACCATGGGCATATTCCCCTAAGCCCTCACACGGCCTTCTGCCACTGGTACCGCCCACAGCCCACCTTCCCCAGCCACACTGCCCTCACCTTCCCCAAACTGCCGCTGCCCATAGAGACAGGGGCTGCAGCTTCCCTGCCCTTCATGGCATGTGCAGATGGAGGTGAGTCTCAGGGAGTGATTGGAGCAGCGTTAATTGGGACACAGACACGTGGAAGGAGGGAGAGGGCCAGAAGCCATTTGTGTTCCAGACAGTGTGCACACACGTGCCAGCTGCCTGGAAACCCAGTGCTTTGCTGTGGGAATATGTGGTTGTTAGGTTTTTTTGTGTCCCAGTTGGGTGATGCAGAACTGGGAGAGACCTGTGGGAGATGGACTCACTGACATTTTGAAGAGCCTTTACTCTTGAAAAGTGTCAATCAAGTTGTGGTGACCTACATATCAAAGACCTGAGAAACAACTGCAGAATTTTGTCCCTTTTAATGCCGAATCCTTGAGAATACCCAAGTGATACCACTTTCAACATAATCTTTTTCTAGGGGGTCATGCATAGGAAGAGGCAGAGACATTGAGAGGGACAAGGGAAGCTCCAGGCTCTGGACCTGGTGAATATCATCACCCTGTGGTTCAAGCCAGACAAGGGAGCAGGTGGGAGGTGTCTGGAAGGAGAAGAGCAGAGTGTCAGGGCCAGGACTGGGATGCGGAGTGGGGAGGTGAGTTGCACGGAAGAAGCACAGGATTGGGAGGCAGCCCAGGGCTCCACGGGTGGGTGTGGGGAAAGGACCAAGCTGACAGCAGGGTGAGAGAGCTCACATAGGTGAGAGAGACAGGGACAAGTGGGAAGGGAGACGGAGCACGAAGCACAGCCCTCTGATATTGGCTGGAAACACCATTCCCGCTCCTGCGCCCTTCCACAAAAGCACGGGTTCTGAGCGCCGGTGGTACAGGACCCCCGCAGCACTGTGCAGAGTCGGAGAGCTCCGCAACCGCGGCACCGCCCCGCTCCAGCAGGGAACAGCTCAGGGACCCGGTTCCCGGCACGGGCAGGGGAGTGCGAGGAGCCGGAAACGCCGGTCGGTGCCGCTCCCGGTGCGCCGCCGCTCCCGCCTCACCTGCGCTGCCGGGGGCACCCCGGGCGGGGCCGGGCGGGGCCGGGGGGCTCCCCCCGCCCACCCGCGGCGGGGGCGGCGCGGGGAGGGGCGGGGCGGGGGGGGCGGTGCGGCCCCGCCGCGCGTGGGAGCGGAGCGGAGCTGGGCGGGCGGCGGCGGCGCTTTGTCCTGCCCACACACACACACACACACACACACAGGCACAGGCACAGGCAGCGCAGCCGGGCGGGAGCCGGCAACATGGCCGGGCCGGCGGAGGGGCTGCCCGCCGCCGCGCTGCCCGGCTAGCGCCCGGGGCCCGGCGCTGCCACTGGGGCGGCGCCGCCGCCGAAGCCCCCTCCCCGTCCCGCCGCAGCCGCCGCCCGCCCCCGGCCCCGGCCCCGGTCCGGCCCCGGCCGCCGCCGCGCCCCGCCGGGAAGATGAGGTGAGTGCGGGCAGGGATGCTCCGAGCGCGGCGGGCACGGCGCCCAAAGAGCCCCCGCGGGAGATGCCGGGGGGGGGGGCGCGGCGGGTCCCCCACGATGGTGTCACGCCGTGGGGGGTGGGGATTTCTTGTGCGAGTGGAAGGCGGGGGAGAGGTTAAGCAATGCGGCGCTTCCTAGTCCTTCACCGGATGGATAGTAGGAGTGGGTGGTGACGTTTTTGGCATGTTTGACTGTCAGTGCCTAAGTCCATCTGACAGATTATCTCGCGGTTACAAAAGGCTGCGAGCGGCTGGGAAACGGAGCCGCGGTGTGCGGCCGGGATCCTGCCCGGTGCTGCCGTGCCTTGCTCCCAGGGATCCTGCCCAGTGCCACCATGCCCTGCAGCCGGGGATTCTGCCGAGACCCTCCTTGGGCGAAAGACCCTCGGGCGGGGAGGGCCGTGTGCGGGGAAGGAAGGGAAACGAGGAGTTCACCGGAGGAGGGAGATGGGATATTTCTCGGCAGCATCCAGCATGGGTCGTGCCGGATCACCCGGAGTCTCCCTCTCCCTCATGCAGCGGGTGCTACAACTCCTAGTTTTGCCGAGGTCGGTTTGTCGATTGTGAACAGGAAGGGCAAAAAAGCCCCACCAACGCACAGATTTCCTGGTGGAAGGATGGAGGGGAAACGTTATTTGTTTTGGTTCATAATCGTCTAAACCTCTCGCGTTCCCCATTTATTCAGGAGTTGGCTTGCTCTGATACAACAGTATCTCGGAGCAACCCAGCCCCTGATTCCCTGATTCATCTTTAATACTAGTGATTTTTTCCACTTGATTATTATCTTTAGCAAAATAAAACTGCATTGGGAAACCTTAAAAATGGAAATAGCAGTTTGAAGCCGTATATCTTTCTGTGGTGCCTGATTCCTGAATTGCAAGGTTGGCAGTGCTCCTAGGAAGTACAGTGGGAGTCAAAAAAAACCTTTGCCTGCCTTTACAGTTACATTTACTCCTGGCACTGTCATGTGTCAAAGGCTTGGAGCTGCATCGGTTTATTTAGCCATTTACGTTGGCATAAGTTTTCTTCATTTGCTTAAAACTGCATTCTTGGGGAGGGCCAAAAGCACACAAGGCTGCTGTGTCATGTCTGGTGGCATGGACCCCTCCCATCTCCGTACAAAAGGTGTGTCTGTATCAGTCTCACCTGGTCTGATTGCAGTGCTGCTCAGAGACCCCTGGGGATAAGTCATCAAACGCAGCAGATGGTAGTGAAGTTTTCCCTTGCTCCCTCCTGTTCAGTTAGTAGCCCAGCTGGGAGAGCTCTTCCCCCATGAAGAAGTGTTGGGAGAACTCTTTCCCCACGAGAAAGGAAAGCTGACTGATAAGCACATCTTTCACCCCGAGGAGGCACCATGGGCAGGTTTGAAGGCTGCAACAATTTTGAGTTTCTCCCGTTGAAGGTATCGTGCTCCATGTGAACTTCCCTAGTTGGTGGTTGCGCTTTTTGTTGGAAGAGGTAGCAATAAAAAGAGACCCACTAAGATAGTCTGTGAATTTAGGGTATCGTGATGTACCCAAAGTTATCCCCACCATGAGACCTAGAGCACTCTCAGAGGAGGTGAGCCACAGGGCATTTTGGAAAGAAAAGCAACATAACTCCAGGAGAGGCTTCAGGACTTCCCCCATGTCCTCACTTTTGACAGTGATGGATGGGTGCGTCTCTAGGTTGGACACCTAACACCAGGCTGCCTCTGGTCTGGTGGGGTAACCAGAACCCAGAGCTGGTCTCTGTGTGCTGCTGGGCGTGTCCTTGTGCAGCAGCCCTTTCCTGCTTTCCCCACGTGACACTTGGCATCTGCAGGTGTATCACACCTGAAGTAGACTTTTCTTATTAATACCATTTTATAATTTTATGTACATGATTATTTCGTTGTTTGGTTTTTTTTTTTAATGGATTCTTGCTTTTAAAGGCTTCCATTAGCGATTTTTTTCTCCTTGCATATACAGACATTTCTAAATGGGTTGTACTTGTCAGTAAATATATGTCTGTAAATCACCTAAAACGTTTTCCAGTAACAATTCTTGTTTAATAAATATAGGCTGTAAAATTCCAAAAGATCCTGGCAGGCTATACAAACATTTAATAAAAACCTCCTTGAAACATTTGCTTAGCCATGTGTGTTTTATTTATATCACTTTTCGTGGTGAATAGATTACGGTGCTATTCTTTGCATTATTGCATTTATGTGATGGTTTCCATTTTTTGATAATTCTTTATGTCTTCACTTCAAAGGTAGAAAGTGTGTGAATAGTGGCTGTACCATACATTTTAGTAATAAACCAGATTATAATAGATGTTCTGTCTCAAAAGTGAATTAGGATCCCTGGATGGAAAATGTCAAAGTGCAGAAGTGTTATTACTCTTTGATACATAAAAATATTGCTTTAGTACAAAAAATGTAGAGATTATTTGACAGCAGATTTTAATTTATTCTTGAAAGTTACAGAATTAGCTTGTGTTTGGGAAAATGTCTATGAATATTGCTGTAGATGAAAATAAAATTTTTACATTCTGTCAACAGAGGTGTAGCCTCTTATTTCTTAGTCATACCTGTAGTTTATAAGGCGTCTGTGTTTCAGTGGTCTCTGTTCTTAAAAATAAAAAACAGATATAGCATTTTGGATGTATCCCTGAAAAAATCCTTCTCTTTTCTTTTCCATGGCTGTGGTGAGTGTACACTGGCTCTCTGTGCTGCAGTCCCAGGGCAATGATGGGGGGAAGCCTCACACTTTAAGCACTTCATTTTTTCTAAACAGAACATACAGTGAATATTCAGAGATGGAACCGGCCTCTAACTAGGATTATTCAGATTAAAACTCTACCTTCTTACTCTTTTGTGGTAACATGTGCTTTAATCCAGGCCAAAGTAATGAGTTCAGTACAGAAGCTATGGTGGAAAGTGGTGTCACTGAGCACCTTAAAGTTTGGCTAAAGTCAGCCTTTTTGTTCTGACATTTCTGTATAGCTACCAACTAGAAAACTTAAAAAGCTGTCGTGTTTAGGTCTAATTTAAGGGCATGGAGAAACACTGAGAAAAAGAGGACCGAGTATTCATAGTACAAACCTGGTTTAGTGACAGGAAGATGTATGCTCTTCTTAACCCTTTTTTTTTTTTTTTTCAGACATAAGTAAGCAAAGTCTTTACATTTTTACGCAACGTATGAAGCATTTCAGGACCCTCCACATTTTTTATTTATTAAGCAGTTCATGAGATAACCCAAGGGTCCTGCCAATGCTTTCAGTTTGAGTGGAGGATAACTGGAGCTGTATGTATGCAGTGTTATTTTCTAACTTTTCTTTTTCTTTACTGTTTTTTTCTGTTTGCATCTGTAAAAAACTAGAGAGAACATGTTGGGTTTGTTTATAATGTCATCAAAGTTGGGGTTATCAACCCAACTGGACTAATGGCCTCTGTAACCCAGTGGACTGCTGGCAGTAAAAAAGCAGGAGCATACCCTGAGATGGTGAATAAAATCAAGTTGTCTATTAAATATCACTTAACCTTGTCACTTAGTGACTTTCTGAGCTGGAGCAATATGCCTGTAACTTACCTAATTTTTGTTTCATTTGAAAACTCTGTCCTGCCATGTTCTGACTCCTGCCTTGGCATCGCGGTGTGCATGGTTGTGAATTCCTGGGGTCAGCTGGGAGTTGTCAAACCACCTTCTGCAGAATAAGTTTAGGTTTTCAGCCTTTCAAACTGAATCTCTGCTACACAGTTCTGCCAGCGTCACTTGATAGCAAAACACCCAGCCCTTCGGCTGTCATGGTTTTGTCAGCAAAATCCCAAGTGTGGATACTATGCTGCTGACAGAAAATGGCTTTTGTTAGCTCAGCCTTGATCTTTAGAGGGGTAGTTTAGCTCTAGCTGCAGACAAACCCCTTGTCAGCAGATTTTGGACCTCTGCTGAAGGTTGCTGAAGGCTGGGGGCGTGTAAAGGCAGCAGCAGTGGCTCATTGAGAACCAGGCGATGCTGGATTTCCATCAGCAAACCCTTACTGTCAGGTCGAGGAACAGGCAGGTCACTTGTGCCTCTTTCATACTAACTGTTATTCTGTATGCTTAAAAATAAACTTATTTTCCGCTCTCTAAAATAAAGCATAGACCCTGGACATCTTTTTGTGCATTCCCTCATTTTTCGAAGTGTTTTGTCTTGTATTTTTTTAGTGGTATAACTGAGGCTGAAGGTAATCTTTCAGATGTGTGCAGGTCTGTTTAACTCAATCTTGTGGTTTTGTGTGCTGTGTCACTTCTGTCCTTTCCTGGATCACTCAGATTGTGTTAAACAACAGACACTCTAGTGCAGAACAGCTCCATTAGAAGTGTGTCACAATTAAAGGTGTCTGCTTACTCTGTCTTTGTACTTGGCTGGGTACTTACTTTGGGAAGTACAGTACTTCTCTCTTTTGAAGTATTTTACTTTAAATATTTGTATTTCTTTTAAGAAATGATCAAAATCTTTCCAAAGTGAAAGCGCTGTTCAGCCTCAAAAACTATGTCCTGCAAGTTAGCAGATTTGTGATTTCTTTCTTCTTTCTTGCTATGTCATAGTTTTGCTCAGTTCTGATCACTGTGTAAGGAGCAGTATGGAACCTCTTTAGAAAATATTTCTAAAACTACTGCCATAATGAAGTGAATTGTACCTGATTTTCAGTCCTAATAATTGAATTGAAATAAGTTTAATTAACTACAGTTTTTCTTTATCTGAGAAGGTCATTATACATATTTCAGGGTTCTTTGCTGAATCTGAATCTTAGGATCATCTCATCCGCTCTCTATTTGAATTTTAAAAAATACTTACTGATGATTTTGTATTGTCCTTCATTGCAGTAGATAAGCAGTAAGAGCTGTTCCAGTATACATTGGTATTGCTCCCACATATTTTTTGTTTTCTTCATAGCCGTTGCAGAACACCAGGGATCCACAGTGCTTCCCCTCCTTTTTCTCAGCCTTGTGCCTGGGCTCAGTTTCTCAGGAGCAGGGAGGAGAGGTGGAATGACTGTGCCACCGTGTCTTCACCTTGCCCCGTTGTTCGCCCTCAGGCAGATTTCATCCTCAGTCACCTACCCAGGACTTCCATTTCATCTGCTTTTTGATCTAATGCGCCGTAATGAGGGGAGCGACAAGAACTGCCCTGCTGCAGCTCAGAGCTCCCACCAAGGCACATGTGATGGGCACCCCAGTAAAGCCCTTGTCCCTGTCGCAGTATGGCTCTGATGCAGCCCAGGGAGAAGACACCGGAACTCCAGACAGGCTGCCAGGAGGCCCCTGGGGTGTAAGTCAGGGCAGCACACAGCCTTGCTTGGGTGGCTCTACCTTGTTCCTGGCTAATTAGCCCACAGGGAGCTTGGCACTGTAAGGGCAGGCTGTTTCCCAGAACTGGGCTGGTGGAGACATTTCTACCCTGTGCTGTAGGAACCTCATGGTTCAACCAGCAGGTTCTTACGGAGGCGGCTCTGAGGTCGTGTGTGTGTTTGGGTTGTTTTGTTTTGGTTTTTTTGGGGGTTTTTGTTTTTGTTTGTTTGTGGGGGATGTTTGTTTGTTATTTTTGTATGTTTGTGGGTTTAATTTTTTTTTATTTTATTTCTGGTATATTTAGCACTGCAGAATGTTTCTTCCTGTGAGACTTTGCATTTTTGCATTGAGCAAAGACCTGGAATAGTATTGACAGTCTTTCCAAAACTATTCATCGTTTGAGAGTTATAGAAGCGTTAAGGATATCTATTTTTATTAATCAGAGAAGACAGACTGGGCAAGTCCCTACCAAAAATTTGAGCCTGGAAACCTCCTTCACATTTCTGACTATCCAAAGTGCCATTCTGTAACATCACAACAACCACTGAAGCATTACATTTCACTGGATACTTAACAGTCCTGAAGTCAGAGAGACATGTGGGGGCCAGAAACTTTTGATTTTCCTTCTTGATGTAGGCATTCAAGCCTGACATTTGTTTCAAGTTCAGTGCAAGTTTATGTATTTCTTCTAAGTTCCTATTCCTGTTCCTCTTGGCTGTGCCAACTTAGACATTTGTGGTTTGGTAGGGTGAACTGGATCATGAAGTCTTTACATAAAAAGACAGAAGAAAATTCACACTTTCCATATGCAAAGGGTGTATACATAGGGTAGGAGCAAGCAGGAGGCTGAAAGGTTTAGGCAGTCCTCCCTAACACCACCAGAAATGCTCATGAAATGATTTCTTCAGGGAATGCCATTGCTACAAATTTGTCTTTTACAGAGATAGTGCTCCTGCTCTTCCTCTTATGCACTGCAGACTCTCCAACTCATGCTCTCAAGTGCTTTGAGCTACAAACTGTGTAGCCTAGCTGGTAGTATGAATGAGCATTTTCTAACTACCAGCTATGTTCCCTGTCCAAAAAAGGTGTTTTTTACCTGAGGTTTTTTTTCCCCCTGGCGTCATGTATACTGTTTACCAGGAATTTGAATGTCTTCAAATCAATAAACCTCTCTCCCTGACTGAATTTCCTGCAGGCCTTCATGTGATCACCCTTATTATCAGCATTGAGGTTGGTCCTGTTATGTAGAATCACAGAATGGTTTGGGTTGGAAGGGTCTTTTAAAGATCATCAGGTCCAACTTCCCTGCCATTTACAGGGACACCTTCCACTAGACCAAGTTTCTCAAAGCCCCATCCAGGAATGGGGCACTTACCACCTCTCTGGGCAACCTGTTCCCCCCTCACAAAGAATTTCTTCCTTATGTCTAATGTAAACCTGCCCTCTTTCAGTTTTAAACGTTTGCCCCTCGTCCTTGTCACCGCAGGGCCCAGCAAAAAAGTCGTCTTCTTTCTTATAAGCCCCCTTTAAGTACTGAAAAGGTCATTAAATCTCCCTGGAGCCTTTTATTTTCCAGGCAACTCCCTTAGCCTTTCTTCAGAGGAGAGGTGTTCCATCCTGCTGTTCCTCTTTGCGACCCTTCTCTGGACCCACTCCAACAGGTCCATGTCTTTCCTGTGCTGGGGACCCCAGAGCTGGATGCAGCACTCCGAGTGGGGTCTCACCAGAGTGAAGTAGAGGGGCAGAATCCCTTCCCTTGACCTGTTGGCCAACCCACTCTTGATGCAGCCCAGGATCCAATTGGCTTTCTGGGCTGCGAGTACACAGTGCCAGGTCATGCCCATGTCATGTTGTGTGCTGGTTTGTTCTGTGGAAGCCCTTCCCCACTGAGTGCAGATCTCATTTAGGTGAGCAGTTCATTTCCCAGGCAGTAGGTGTCATTCCTGCAGCTTGAGATCTCACAGTTTTATTTCTCTCTTTTTTCAGCTTCACATAGGTGCCAGCATGGATAGACATGTTTTTCTGTGAGAAAAAAGTAAAAAAATAAACAAAAAAAACCACCCAAGCTGTGTAGTACTGTGACTTGTAGCGTGCTGCAGGTGCAGGCACAGGTAGATACTCCAGCGGTTTGTATCTGTTTCTGCAGCAAGGCCCAGTCCTTGTCACAGGGGTGAGCTCCATAGTGCAGGCATGCTCTGCTTCCTCGGCAGTCTCTGGCCGCTAAATCTCTTAACCTTTTTGGCTTTGTTGCTTTATATGCTGGAGGATGACAATATTTACCTGAGAGGGAATTAAGATGATTAAGTAGCTGGGTCTCAGTCTAGCACAGGATTTAAGGCTTAAGTTGGGTCCTGTTAAAGGCCTTGCTTTGCTAGATTGGAGTCTCCTGTTCAAATAGCATTTCTGAGGATGACAAGAGTATTTAAAATAAATGCTAAGCATCACAGCAAAGTTCCTTGTGTATTGCTGTCCATTCATTCCTCCCTCCTCTTTCTTTTCCTATTCCCATCATTCGCTGCTTCCTAGTCAGGATGTGCGTTGCTTCCTTCCTGTGCTTCCCTCCTTTATCCCCTATCAGTAAGCCACTCCCTCAGCAATGAGGAGATCTAGAAAACACAGTGAAATGGCATCAGCAAGAAGCAGGGCCGTGGCCACCATAATCCCTTTAATTGCATGCTGCATCCTTTTTTCTTCCTTAGCTGTACACAGCTCAGGGGTTTGGCTGCAGTAGTGTTCTATGGGTGTCTATTTACCTGCAACAGGAACAGCTAAACACACCCAGGACTGCTCAATGCTCAGGATGAAAGGGAGAGCTTAAAAATGTACATTCAGGTATAAAAGCTGTAATGGGAAATGTCTGTTGCATGTGTGCTGGATGGGTAGGAATATGTCTTCAGCACTGAAAAGACCAGCACTGCTCAATTCATGGTTTGTGGTCCAGAGGACATCAAAAGAGAGATCAAAAAATGCTTGCAAAAATTTTAAAAATCAGAAACAAGACAGTTAAAATCACCCCCATATGCACATGTTTTCATGCAGTTTGTATGTGTGTAACCCATTCCTATGAGCTCTTTGCTGTTATTGCCCAGTTAAAATATTTTTGATATTAAAGTAATTATTTTATTAGATGGCTCTGTTTTGTCTGTCACTCTAGTTCCCACCTGCCAAACAGCAGTGGGATTTCAGATAATCTGTGAATTCCTTTTTGAAAAGGATTTGTGATTTAAAATGAGAGAAATACTGGACGAGCATATTTTGACAGAATGAGGTAACTTTAATATTATGGCTTTGTCATGAATTAGTGTTGAGTGCTTCAACACATTTGCATGCTAATCTTTCTTTTAGATAACTAAATACGTCACCTAGGTGAATTTAAGTCAATTTTTGATCCCACAGCTGCTTTGTTGAGAAGTAAGGGTTGAATCATCCAAATTAACAGCCTTCTCAGGCAGTTAATTTCTTTGACTCCCAGGTAAGTGGAAGAGAGAAAACATGGACTTAAATATTCATTTCACCTGTATGCTTAATAAAATATCCTATATTTCTCCCTTTTTGTTGTTTCACTTGTCTGGTAGTAAGAGCCATCTGTGAGTACGTGGAATGAGGACTTACATCTTTTCATCAACTGTGGCACGTGCAGTGTTGTCCATTAGAGGAGCTGCCTGAAGTGCTGCTTTGTCAGCTGCCACCAAAGTGGTCTGTAACTCTCAACACTGTCTTAGGACTCCACTGGTAGCCCAACATTGTGATAGATCCTCCTGTAGCCTGACCTGCTGCCACTTGGCTTTGTACTTATTTGTTTTAATTGGAGCTGAGCTGTCAAACACTAGTTCACAGCATAAGGAATCACACACAGCTGCCACCAAGACTGCCATGGTGAGGGGTGATGCCCAGGGATGTCTATAGTTCATCACACACCCAGGAGCAGTCCAGAGGCACTTGCAAGTCCAGAGGCATCTGCAAGTCAGCCTGGAGACAGCTATCCACCTCCATCCTTGGGGATTTCAGCTGCCCACATCTAATGCTGGAGGCATGAACAAAGCCGGCTGATGATATGGCATTAAGATCCTAATCTTGAAAAGACTTGTACACATTCTTGACCTTATTACTGGGAACATCATCCTTGATGTTTGTGAACCTAATGGCCATTGTAATAAGATCACTGACCGTAGTAAATTTATGTGCAAGTATTGATGGTTTTGGGGTCTGATGGAACAGTGAAGGCTTGCTTCTTCAATCAAGGGCAGAACTCAGCACAGGAAATTTGTGGCTTTTAGGAAGGGAGACAAAAGCTGCCCTATTCCTATCCTCTGTATGGAAGTCCTCACTTTTATCACACACACACAGAATGGGAACATAAGCATCTCTTGTTTAAAGTGCTCCCCAGCCCCCAGTGAACAGTTATTTACTGAACACCTAACAGTGAGTTAAAAACAACTCCAGCCTTTAGGGGAGCAGAGGAGGCAGGTGAATGGTACAAGCAGCCAGTTTGCTGGGAAACAGTGGAGGGCTGGAGCTGGTGAAGCAATCCTGCTGAGGCAGGTGTGGTGGGTCCTTCCTTTTTGAGGGTTCACAGGCAAAAATGAAAGTAAAAAGGGAACAGAAAAGGTGATCAGAGTTAGTGTAACTTAGGAGTGGGGTGTGTGTGTGTGTGTGTAGAGGGAAGTCCCCCAGAGCTTGTTGTACTGATCCCAGGGAGCACCCCCTCATTTTGTGGTCCTCAGGATGTTGCCCAAGGGCCACAAGAGCTACAAGGTCCTGCTTGTCTCTTCTGTCCTGGCTTGCTAAACAAAAATACTGCCAGAACTGCATGACTGCAGCCCTTTGCAGGATCTCAGAAAAACCTGAGCCAGCATGCTGCTTAAAAATTTCATGGTATTAAATATGAGAGTGTTACAGAAATAGCAGAGGGGACACTGGGCCACGCAGCAAGCTAGGGAATATGGAAACAAGTTTGTAAGAGCAATAATGCACACAGGGACATTTCTCAAGCTATGAAGCATGTTCAGAGGTGTGCAGGGCGAATGCCTCTCGTCATGCATTTAGCTGTTACCACTGTCCTGAGTACTGGTGCGGGTCTGGTTTAATCAGTTCTCCCAGTTTCCAGCTGGCTCAGTCTCCTGAACCAATTCACCATGGAGCTGTGTAAATGCCTGTCAGCACCACACCAGTGGGAGTGGGAGAGAGGGCTGTGGTGCGGCCACGGCACACCAGGGCAGCCCAAGTGGAAATGATGCTCCGTGTCTGATCCTCCTCTCAGTGGTGACTTCATCCTTCCAGGAGCTCACATTTAGATCACTGCATGGTCTGATTAACCCAGTGGTTTGCTGAGGATTTCCATGCTAAATTGCTAAAACAATAGTCCTTCTTTCCTTGCTTTCTATGGCCTCTTATTTTTGACACTGGTCTCCAGACTCTGATCTCGTTGTCACTTTGGTCAAAGTCTGTCACTGCAGCCTTAGTTGCACCCTGATACCAGCTGTCATCTGTTGTTGCCATCAGAGTCTCTTCATCATCATT